CTGGCTCTGCGTCAAACCTCCTCTCTCCCGTAGTTTTCACCTCCTCCACTGCGTCCACGCCCTTTCCCTCCCGCCACATCTTTGCCCACCCCCCTCCCTCTCTCTCTCTCTCTCTCTCTCTCTCTCTCTCTCTCTCTCTCTCTCTCTCTCTCTCTCTCTCTCTCTGTGTCTGTGTCTCCCCCCGCCCCTCGGCGCCTTCCTGTGGCAGTCTCCAGCGCGCGCCCACACTCAAACACGTACGTCGATGGAACCTCGAATCTTCGGCGTGCTTAGAAGGCACCGTTAAGCTATCAACCTGTCATCAACAGACGTCAGACATTAAAACACGTAAATACGGCGAAGTCGCACCACCTTCAATTAATTGCCTCTGTCACAAGCGCCCCCCCCCCCCTCCGTTCGGCCCAATGATCCGGTCAGAAAACAAAACACTTTAATTCCTTTTCCCTTTTTCCCTCCTCACAAGATCAAGAAAAATACGACAACAATCGCACTTGGCAGTTAATCGACTGTAATACTGCAGCGGGGAGACTACAACGGAGATGGCATGCTCGGAATTGTAATAATCCACCGCTGTCATTCCAATAGGAGAGAGGGGCAGACAAACAGACAAAAGCAAAGACACGCAGACAGACGAGACAGAAAGCCGAAGACATTCGAACAGACAAGAAGTGAAAAGAATTATCAGTCGAGTGATCGTTCCGCTGTCTAGACAACCAGAAAAGAACAATCATAATTTGTTAACCTCACGATCATTACTCAGCTCTTTCATTGACAACAAAACGAAGTTGTCAAATCACTCGTTAATTTCTTCAATTCTGGAAGCCGTCAAGAGGTGACATGCGGACAGCGATCAAGGTTGGAACAGGGAAGCACTCCATTGCATTCCCAAGTCCCATTTTCAAGCGCTGATGGGACGAAGTGCTTCCTGAGACCTTCGTGCTAGCAGAATATTATGGCTCGAAAATAGGCCGGCAAGTCTTACTTCCCACAAATTGTTCATCGCTCCAAATGGTCCATTAGTTGATTATATATTGCACACAAGTTGTTGGTTAAATGATTGAATGGTTGATTGGTCTTATGATTGGACGGTTAATTGCATAGTTCAGAATTTCGCTGGCTGCTTGTGTTCATCAACTCTCTTGCCAAGCTGGTTGACCTTACCCTTGATCCTCATTGATTCCGTGAATTACTTAATCAATAGTTGAATTTCATTGAACAACAGAGGCTGATCGTTTCATTCGCGGAGATTGCGATCATCAATCCCGTCGCAACCGATCATATGATTGATCAATTGATCGCTTGATTGATCGTTCGCGTAATTGATCAAATATCTTGCTGCATCGATTGATGGATTGATTGACTACATAATTAATTAACTCATCCATAACTCTCTTCGGCGATTACTCGAGAGTGTAAGTTAACGACTGACTTGATTGCTCGATTGCTAGGCCGGTCTGTTCGCCGCTCCCGAACGGCAGAGAAAGCACATTATCTGTCTTGCCTCTTCTCACACGAAACGATTACGACGACGTCGATGATGAAGACAGATCACGACAAAGAAGACGACGATGAAGACCATGCGAGGAAGCTCTGTGGGGAAGAGAGGCAACTCCAAATGCCTCCCGGAAGGGGCAGGAGCACCTCCCCCTTCACTTCTTCGCGGCTTCTGTTCCACGATCCCGTTTTCCTCGTCTGCCTCTCCGACCCCCTCCCCCCTCTCACCTGTGACACCCGTGCCTATCTGACACCTGGCACTATCTGACACCTCACGCACGGCCTCTTCTCTCGCCGTCTCCTAACCGACACCTGGGACACAATCTTCAGCCATTCCCGACATCGAAGCATAACGCCAACAGCGATCTTCGGATCTTCGTCGAAAGTCTCACTCTCGATCGAGAACGCACTTTTCGCAACAACTGCTCCGCAACCGCCAAGTCGCAACCTTCAGTGAAACAGACCACACGAAAAAAGGGACTACCAACCACAGATCCGACTTCTGCGCTGCAACATCATCCGAGACACAGCCATCATCGCAAGCCCGCTTCTAGATCGTAAGGCGCAAACCTGGGCCGTCTTCTTCTTTTCCTACTTCTCTTTCATGTTCCTCTTTCTTCTTCTTCTTCTTCTTCTTCTTCTTCTTCTTCTTCTTCTTCTTCTTCGTCTTCGTCTTCGTCTTCCTTCTTCTCCTTCTTCTTAGGACGACCGCACACTCGCGCAAAACAACCACCTCCTCTGCCGCTAAACGATAAGCGACACGTGATGCCAAGGTAACAAGCAAAGACTTTCCCCACTTTCCAGCAATAACGACAGCGGCATTGGATCATCTTCCAAGTCCATCCTGCCAGCAGAGGACAAGGGTGTTTCCGCCACGTCGGACAGACAGCTCGTACTGGACACTTGTCGTCACGAGCTCGCACATTTTCTTGGGGATGGTCCTATTCCCCCTCGGGAAATGCCGTCTACTCTCGTCGTCACTTCATCCGTTCGTTCGCATCTTTCCCGCCACCCACCCTACCGGCCCCTCGTCCACCGACGATCCACGTCTTGCTAGTCATCAGTCACACTGCGAGCGGAGTGCGGGGTAGGCAGGGCTTGGGGAGAAACAGGGCATATTTGCGCGGGCCAGGACGGGGATTGGCGTTGAAAGGTGTGTGCGGGGCCGAGGGGCGCGCGAGGAGGTGAGGGAGGGGCACGAAATTGGCCAGCACCCAGAATTTCATCGCCTCCCTATTCTCTCACACAATTGTTACCAAGTTGACCCTGGTTTGTGTGCTTTGCTCTCTTGCTCGTCGCGCATCGGGAAGGTAACCGCGAGAACTTGCCGCGGAATTCGGACACCGGAAGCCAACCACAGCTGCAACCCAACAGGGCGCGATGTTGCGAAACTACGAAAAACTGCGAAAAACTGAAAAATTACGAAACGGAAAAGAAAGAGAGGGAACCCTGGCAATTCATCATTGTCGTCTGGACTGGTAGCCATTTCCCTCTCCAACGAAGCGGTCCGTCGCTCATAGCCCTCACCCCGCCCGCCCTGGCAGGGGGCCCCTTCCAACCCCCAACTGCTGGGGCAGGAGATGACCAAAACATAGCATTGCCTGCAGAGGGCAGGATGCACCTGGGGCCGACTGCTTTGATACAGTCTACCGCGTGGGCGCGGGGAACACAGCCCTAAGGTAGCCAAATCAATGAGACTAAGGGCGTCGTTCGACACTCCTCGGGGAGGCGATTCCGAGGATTCCGTCATCGTTCCACCTGTCCTCGGGGCTGATTTTCGGAACGGAAATGTGAAAACACTCCGAGGACAAATCCTTGGGCTCTGAGGATTTCCCAGCCAAATCGTCCTCGGCTCCAAGGGACCTCGCGAGGTCCCTGAGGTCCCTTGGAGCCCGAGGATCCGTGTTTCACGGAGAGGAGAAGGCATGCAAGTAGAGAGATGTTACAACCGAGAATTTTGATCGTGGCGGCACCCTATTGGCTGCAAGCCTGAAGCACAAGTTTTTCTTTTTTTTCCCCTTTTATTTTTCTGACATTGCTCCGAGGATGAGTCCAAAAACAGATGCTCTGAGGATGAGTCCTAAAACAGATGCTCCGAGGATGAGTGGAACGAAGACAACAAAAACCCTAAACTTTTTCGAGGATTCATCCTCGGAGCCCGACGATGCCCCGAGGAGTGTCGAACGACGCCCTAAGAGCTAACAAGAGAGAGAGAGAGAGAGAGAGAGAGAGAGAGAGAGAGAGAGAGAGAGTTTTGTTCCGTTTGTTGATACAAGTGTGTGTGAGAGAGAGAGAGAGAGACAACGAGAGAGAGAGAGAGAGAGAGAGAGAGAGAGAGAGAGAGATTGAATGGCAAAATTGAAATATGGGTCAAATTGCGGCCGCGATCCATTTTGCAGTAGGAATGATTTTTTTTTAAATTTATTTAGCGTTTTTCCTGGAAAGATCACAACAAAATCTACGAGTACTCCAATTTTCAGGTTTTTTCACGCATTCTTCTGAGCGTGAAAACTCACTGAATTTGGAGTACTTTTTTAGTTGGCCCAGACATGGCTGAGTGGCAAAAATGGAAAATGTGCCGAATCGGCGCGGCGATTATTTCGCAGTGTAAATGATTTTTTGTAAATGTTCGATTATTATTTCTGGAAAAAACACGACCTCATCTATGAATTCTCAAAATTTCAGATTTTTGTGCAGGTTCGTCCGAGAACAAAAAATCGCCGGAGTTGTCTCTTGCAAAACGCCTATTTCGTTGTGCCTGACCTCCCTGTTTTGAGAAGACGGGGCTCAATGCCTGGGCCTGAGGGCCCTTTTGCAGTTCACATGCCTGCACTTCTTTTTGGGGTCCACTTCTACCCGGGGACCGGTCCAACGCCCCCCACTTCTTTTGGGGGTCCACTTCCACCTGAGGACCGGTCCTTCCTTTTTCCAAAAGTCCAGGTTCTAGAAGAGCTAGCTGCAGGTAGTCCGCAATTTTGCCAAGGACCGGTCCCCAAAAAACATTTGTCCCCTAAGAACCCACTTTGCATCCTGGTCGCCCGCCATCGAAAATGATGCGACACCTTGACACAGACGCGGAAGCACACTATACTGCAGCCTTAGGGCTGCGAATTCCCGAAAAATAGCCTTGGGCAGGGAGCACCTTGGCCAGATGGTAGGTCGTTGCGCCGACGCGTCCCACCGGCGCTACGACGTGTCGGTCCGCACGATGAAGACTTGACGCCCTGCAACTCCACCACTATGATGGCACTCAGGCTTCTGTCCCCTTCTCGCTCGCCATGTCCGAGCGACCCGCCTCACGAAGTGGTAGGTGAGACGGTCGGTGACAGTCTGTCCAGCCGGTAAGAAACCTCTTCATACGTCACGCGAAGTTTCCATTCGAGTCCTCTAGTGCTTATTAGCACGCAGTAAATTTTTTGCTATCTTCTCTCTTACCTATCTCTATCCTCTTTCATTGGCGTCCAGAGTCTAGCAAGTGGCCTGGTCAGTCTGTTGTGGACGATGGTCCCAAAGTCTTAGTGATCTATCATCCTCTCTGGTGAAACAGGGTCTGACTCTTCATTTGTCTTTGCTCCCTTCTTAACTCACTTGCTCCCTTACCTCTCACTGCCCTCTGCCTCTGCAGCATGGAGATAGAAAACAACGCCGCTCCGAATGCCCTGAATGACGGTGGCCCTCGTTCCCCTCCTCCAGACCCCGGTCTGGATGGAGAAGACGTGCGCCATGCCCGGGAACTCATTCGTCTTTGTTATGAAGAAGGAGTTTGCCCCCCCGATATTGACCCTGGTGAGATGGTAATTGAGGGTAGAGAAGTTCGTTTTAGGGTCAACCCGTCGATCGACCGGATTAAAATTAACTGGTTGAAAGAACGCGTGGTCACCATAATCTTTCGTGAAGGAGCCCGTTTACTTCCTAAAAAGGTCAAGGACGATATCGTAAGGGCATATAAGGACTCCAAACTTCAGGAAGGTAGCTTCGACGTGGACTCCTTCAATCGTGGCAGAATCAAGATAGAAAGTTCAAATGTTGTTTCTTATCTTGCGAAGAGCAGAGCAATCGCGGCATGGCTGATCACAAAAGGCCATGATTTGCTTACCCTTGGCCAGGTCGAATATAGGTTAGAATTCAAACCTTGGCTATCCAAAGCTCAATTAAGAGAGCAGAGGAAAGAAGAAGAGCATGCCTCGTTTTGGGTTGTCGCTGTACAAGTCCCTTTAGACTCTTTTATCTATTTGGAGGCACAAATTCGAAAGGACAAAATTACTGTAATTACAGCAGAGGAGGACGAACTCGTGGTGAACTTGGCCTGCTCAGATACTCCACGATGTCGCAGATGCAGAGCTTTCTTCCATGAAAAAGCCCAATGCAGACATGCAGCTCGTCAACGACAAGACCAACAATCGCAGCATGTACCAGGGCAAGCCCCAGCTTACTCCCAAGCGCCGACTTCTACTCCACAATACCAAGGCCTGATCCTTACGCCTCGCAAATCCTGCAAGGAACTCCGAACGCGGGTCAACAGCTAGGGTTCTAACCCTACCAGAACACGCAGTTTAATCCTGCCTTTTCTCCCGGAAACCCCCCTCTAGGGGGATTCCCGCCAGTTCTCCAACCACAAGGCTTTCCATGGCTAGCTCAACCGTATGCTCCGTGGCTCCAATACCTCCAACAACAGCAAGGCTACATCCTCCCCAATCTGGGGGGTCTGGCGGCGGGGCCATCTGGACTTTTCACTGCTCAAGGGAACCTATCCAGTGTTCAGGTCCCCGTTCCCCTACAGGGACAGACGGATCCTGCTTTGGGGGGGGCGACAAGCACCCCTCGACAGAATGACTATCAGGAAGATCGTGCGGTGTGTATAAGAGACAGCCCCTCGACAGAATGACTATCAGGAAGATCGTGCGGTAGGAGAAACATGATTCGTGGTGGGAGCAACAAGTGTGGCTGATACAGGAGGTGACCATCAATCTCGTACGAGATTT